GTAGTCCATGTCTGTAGTCCATGTCTGTAGTCCATGTCTGTAGTCCATGTCTGTAGTCCATGTATGTAGTCCATGTCTGTAGTCCATGTCTGTAGTCCATGTCTGTATGTCTGTAGTCTCCATGTCTAGTAGTCTGTAGTCCATGTCTGTCCATGTATGTAGTCCATGTCTGTAGTCCATGTCTGTAGTCCATGTCTGTAGTCCATGTCTGTAGTCCATGTCTGTCCATGTCTGTAGTCCATGTCTGTAGCCCATGTCTGTAGTCCATGTCATAGTCCTGTAGTCCATGTCTGTCCATGTCTGTAGCTCATGTCTGTAGTCCATGTCTGTAGTGTAGTCCATGTCTGTAGTCATGTAGCCCATGTCTGTAGCTCATGTCTGTAGCTCATGTCTGTAGTCCATGTCTGTAGTCCATGTCTGTAGCCCATGTCTGTAGCTCATGTCTGTAGCTCATGTCTGTAGTCCATGTCTGTAGCCCATGTCTGTAGCTCATGTCTGTAGCTCATGTCTGTAGTCCATGTATGTAGTCCATGTCTGTAGCTCATGTCTGTCCCTGTCTGTAGCCCATGTCTGTAGCTCATGTCTGTAGCTCATGTCTGTAGTCCATGTATGTAGTCCATGTCTGTAGCCCATGTCTGTAGTCCATGTCTGTCAGTAACCCACGTGTCTGTAGCACACGCCTCTCTGTAGCCCATGTCTGTCTTGTCTGTAACCCATGTCTGTCTGTAGTCCATGTCTGTCTGTAGTCCATGTCTGCCTGTAACCCATGTCTGTAACAAATGTCTGTCTGTAGTCCATTTTCTTTCTGTAGCCCCTATCTGTAGTCCATGGCTGTCTGTAGCCTATGTCTGTAGTCCATATCTGTCAGTAACCCACGTGTCTGTAGCACACGGCTCTCTGTAACCCATGTATGTCTGTAGCCTATGCGTGTCTGTAACCAATGTCTGTCTGTAGTCCACTTCTTTCTGTAGCCTATGTCTGTAGTCTATGTCTGTCTGTAACCCATGTCCGCACGAAGCCCATGTCTGTCTGTAACCAATGTCTGTCTTTAGTACATGTCTGTCTGTAGCCCATGTCTGTAGCCCATGCCTGTAACCCATGTCTTTCTGTAACTCATGTATGTCTGTAACCACTGTCTATCTGTAGTCCATGTCTGCCTGTAGTCCATGTCTGTAGTCCATGTCTGTAGCCTATGTCTGTAGTCCATGTCTGTAGTCCATATCTGTAGTCCATGTCTGTAGTTCATGTCTGTAGTCCATGTCTGTAGTCCGTATCTGTAGTCCATGTCTGTAGTCCATGTCTGTAGTCCATGTCTGTAATCCATGTCTGTAGTCAATATCTGTAGTCCATAGCTGTAGTCCATGTCTGTAGTCCATGTCTGTTGTCCATGTCTGTCTGTAGTCCATGTCTGTATTCCATGTCTGTAGTCAACGTCTGTAGCCCATGTCTGTAGTCCATGTCTGTAGTCCATGTCTGTAGTCCATGTCTGTAGCTCATGTCTGTAGTCCACATCTGTAGTCCATGTCTGTAGTCCATGTCTGTAGTCCATGTCTGTAGACCATGTCTGTAGTCTATATCTGTAGTCCATGTCTGTAGTCCATATCTGTAGTCTATGTCTGTAGTCCATGTCTGTAGTCCATGTCTGTAGTCCATATCTGTAGTCCATATCTGTAGTCCCTGTCTGTAGTCCATGTCTGTGTGTAGTCCATTTCTGTAGCCCATATATATATATGTAGTCAATAGCTGTAGGCCATGAATGTAGTCCATGTCTGTAGCCCATGTCAGTATGTAGTCTATGTCTGTCTGTAGTCCAAATCTCTCAGTAGCCCATGTATGTCTATAACCCATATCCGTCTGTAGCCCATGTCTGTCTGTAACCGATGTCTGTCTGTAGCCCATGTCTGTCTGAAGAACATGTCTGTCTATAGCCCATGTCTGTCTGTAGTCCATGTCTGTCTGTACCCTATGTCTGTAGTCCATGTCTGTCAGTAACCAACGTGTCTGTAGCACACGCCGCTCTGTAGCCCATGTCTGTCTGTAACCAATGTTTGTGACCAATGTCTGTCTGTAGTCCCATAATTTCTGTAGCCCATGTCTGTAGTCCATGTCTGTCTGTAGCCCATGTCTGCCTGTAGCCCATGCCTGTCTGTAACCAATGTTTGCCTATAGTCCATGTCTGTCTGTAGCCCATGTCTGTCTGTAACCATTGTCTGTCGGTAGTCTATGTCTGTTTGTAGCTCATGTCTGTCTGTAACGAATGTCTGTCTGTAGCCCATGTCTGTCTGTAACCATTGTCTGTCAGTAGTCTATGTCTGTTTGTAGCCCATGTCTGTCTGTAACGAATGTCTGTCTGTAGGCCATGTCTGTCTGTAACCATTGTCTGTCGGTAGTCTATGTCTGTTTGTAGCCCATGTCTGTCTGTAACCATTGTCTGTCGGTAGTCTATGTCTGTTTGTAGCTCATGTCTGTTTGTAACCATTGTCTGTCGGTAGTCTATGTCTGTTTGTAGCCCATGTCTGTCTGTAACGAATGTCTGTCTGTAGCCCATGTCTGTCTGTAGTCTATGTCTGCCTGTAACCCATGTCTGTAACCAATGTCTGTCACTAGTCCATTTCTTTCTGTAGCCCCTGTCTGTAGTCCATGTATGTCTGTAGCCCATGTCTGCCTGCAGTCTATGTCTGCCTGTAACCCATGTCTGTAACCAATGTCTGTCTGTAGTCCATTTCTTTCTGTAGCCCCTATCTGTAGTCCATGTCTGTCTGGAGCCTATGTCTGTAGTCAATATCTGTCAGTAACCCACGTGTCTTTAGCACACGCCTCTCTGAAACCCATGTCTGTCTGTAACCCATGTCTGTAGCCCATATATGTATGTAGTCCATGTCTGTAGCCCATGCCTGTAGACCATATATGTATGTAGTCCATGTCTGTAGCCCATGTCTGTAGCTCATGTATGTAGCTCATGTCTGTAGTCCATGTATGTAGTCCATGTATGTAGCTCATGTATGTAGTCCATGTCTGTAGTCCATGTCTGTAGCCCATGTCTGTAGTCCATGTATGTAGCTCATGTCTGTAGTCCATGTATGTAGTCCATGTCTGTAGTCCATGTCTGTAGTCCATGTATGTAGCCCATGTCTGTAGTCCATGTCTGTAGTCCATGTATGTAGTCCATGTATGTAGTCCATGTCTGTAGTCCATGTCTGTAGTCCATGTCTGTAGTCCATGTCTGTAGTCCATGTCTGTAGTCCATGTATGTAGTCCATGTCTGTAGTCCATGTCTGTAGTCCATGTCTGTAGTCCATGTCTGTAGCCCATGTCTGTAGTCTATGTCTGTAGTCCATGTCTGTAGTCCATGTCTGTAGTCCATGTCTGTAGTCTATGTCTGTAGTCCATGTCTGTAGTCCATGTCTGTAGTCCATGTATGTAGTCCATGTATGTAGTCCATGTCTGTAGTCTATGTCTGTAGTCCATGTCTGTAGTCCATGTCTGTAGTCTATGTCTGTAGTCCATGTCTGTAGTCCATGTATGTAGTCCATGTCTGTAGTCCATGTCTGTAGTCCATGTCTGTAGTCCATGTCTGTAGTCCATGTCTGTAGCCCATGTCTGTAGTCTATGTCTGTAGTCCATGTCTGTAGTCCATGTCTGTAGTCCATGTCTGTAGTCTATGTCTGTAGTCCATGTCTGTAGTCCATGTCTGTAGTCCATGTATGTAGTCCATGTATGTAGTCTATGTCTGTAGTCCATGTCTGTAGTCCATGTCTGTAGTCCATGTATGTAGTCCATGTATGTAGTCCATGTCTGTAGTCCATGTCTGTAGTCCATGTATGTAGTCCATGTATGTAGTCCATGTATGTAGTCCATGTATGTAGTCCATGTCTGTAGTCCATGTATGTAGTCCATGTCTGTAGTCCATGTATGTAGTCCATGTATGTAGTCCATGTCTGTAGTCCATGTCTGTAGTCCATGTCTGTAGTCCATGTCTGTAGTCCATGTCTGTAGTCTATGTCTGTAGTCCATGTCTGTAGCCCATGTCTGTAGTCCATGTATGTAGTCCATGTATGTAGTCCATGTCTGTAGCCCATGTATGTAGTCCATGTCTGTAGCCCATGTCTGTAGTCCATGTATGTAGTCCATGTCTGTAGTCCATGTCTGTAGCCCATGTCTGTAGTCCATGTATGTAGTCCATGTCTGTAGCCCATGTCTGTAGTCCATGTATGTAGCCCATGTCTGTAGTCCATGTCTGTAGTCCATGTATGTAGTCCATGTCTGTAGCTCATGTATGTAGTCCATGTATGTAGTCCATGTATGTAGTCCATGTCTGTAGCCCATGTCTGTAGTCCATGTATGTAGCCCATGTCTGTAGTCCATGTCTGTAGTCCATGTATGTAGTCCATGTCTGTAGCTCATGTATGTAGTCCATGTCTGTAGCTCATGTATGTAGTCCATGTATGTAGTCCATGTCTGTAGCTCATGTCTGTAGTCCATGTCTGTATCAAGTCTATGTCTGTAGCCCATGTCTGTAGCTCATGTCTGTATCAAGTCTATGTCTGTAGTCCATGTCTGTAGCCCATGTCTGTATCAAGTCTATGTCTGTAGCCCATGTCTGTAGCCTATGTTTGTAGCCTATGTCTGTAGCCTATGTCTGTATGTAGTCCATGTTTGTATTTAGCCCATGTGTATCTCTCGCTTATTTCTGTATGTAGCCCATGTGTGTCTGTAGCTTATGTTTGTATGTAGCCAATGTCTGTCTGTAGCCTGTCTCTTTCTGTAGCCCATGTGAGTGTAGCTTATGTAGTAAGCACAAGTCTGTATGTATCCCATGTGTGTCTGTAGTCAATATCTGTCTGTAGGTAGAGCATATCTGTCTGTAGGTAGAGCATATCTGTCTGTAGGTAGAGCATATCTGTCTGTAGGTAGACCATATCTGTCTGTAGTCTGTGTATGTAGATAGCCCGGTTCCTGAGACAAGTAAAACTGCCAGCTGTGGGCTGACCTTGACCTACCTGAAATAACAGAATATCACCAGGGAGACAACTGTGGTAACCAAGGAGATGCAGAGGCCAACAATTTCTAGTGTCCGGGAGGTGGCGATCATCTCCCTCATCATCTGCGACATCAACAACAACAAAACATCACTGAGGTCATCATTACTAGTTCAACAGCACTGAGGTCAACATCACTGAAGTCAGCACCGATAGGTCAACAGCACTGAGGTCAACATCATCAGGTCAACATCAATGAGGTCAAAATTACCAAGGTCAACATCACTGAGGTAACATCCATGATTTCAGCATCACTAAAGTCCACATCACTGGTCCTCAACACCGAGGTCAACAGCTCTGAGAGCAACTTCCCCGAAGTCAACAGCTCTGAGAGCAACTTCCCTGAGGTCAACAGCTCTGAGAGCAACTTCCCTGAGGTCAACAGCTCTGAGAGCAACTTCCCCGAGGTCAACAGCTCTGAGGGCAACTTCCCTGAGGTCAACAGCTCTGAGAGCAACTTCTCTGAGGTCAACAGCTCTGAGAGCAACTTCTCCGAGGTCAACAGCTCTGAGGGCAATTTCCCTGAGGTCAACAGCTCTGAGAGCAACTTCCCTGAGGTCAACAGGTCTGAGGACAACTTCCCCGAGGTCAACAGCTCTGAGAGCAGCTTCCCCGAGGTCAACAGCTCTGAGAGCAACTTCCCCGAGGTCAACAGCTCTGAGAGCAACTTCCCTGAGGTCAACAGCTCTGAGAGCAACTTCCCCGAGGTCAACAGCTCTGAGAGCAACTTCCCCGAGGTCAACAGCTCTGAGAGCAACTTCCCTGAGGTCAACAGATCTGAGGGCAACTTCCCCGAGGTCAACAGCTCTGAGAGCATCTTCCCCGAGGTCAACAGCTCTGAGGGCAACTTCCCCGAGGTCAACAGCTCTGAGGGCAACTTCCCCGAGGTCAACAGCTCTGAGAGCAACTTCCCTGAGGTCGACATTACTCAATTTAACATCATCGAGGTCAACATCATTGACGGTACTGAAGTCAACATCATTGACGGTACTGAAGTCAACATCACAGCATCAGAGAGTGAACACAAGCCAACGTTCGATCAACAGGCAACAAACATAAAGTCTACTGACTGTAAACTTTCAGCCACGAGATCAGCATAAGATGTACGTATAGGTAAAGTGTACAGATCAGTTTAGTCACATCTGTGTAGATACAAACCTAGGGGAATATTGGTGTACGTGGATAGATGCACGTGTAGGCAGATACCCAGGTATGTGGATAGATTCACGTGTAAGCAGATACTCAGGTCAGTGGATAGATGCACGTGTAGGCAGATACCCGGGTATGTGGATAGATCCACGAGTAGGCAGATACTCAGGTAAGTGGATAGATGCACATGTAGGCAGATACCCAGGTAAGTGGATAGATGAACGTGTAGGCAGATACTCAGGTAAGTAGATAGATCCACGTGTAGGCAGATACTCAGGTAAGTGGATAGATCCACGAGTAGGCAGATACTCAGGTAAGTGGATAAATGCACGGGTAGGCAGATACCCAGGTAAGTGGATAAATGCACGGGTAGGCAGATACCCAGGTAAGTAGATAGATCCACGAGTAGCCAGATACTCAGGTAAGTGGATAGATGCACGTGTAGGCAGATACCCAGGTAAGTAGATAGATTCACGTGTAGGCAGATTTTGCCACAAGTGATGAATCCATCTGTAGGCAAACACTAATGTGAGTGGATAGATCAACATGCAGACAGACACTGATGTAAGGGGATCGATCCATGTATAGGCGGACACTGATGTAAGGGTAACGATCCATGTATAGGCGGACACTGATGTAAGAGGATAGATAGATCAGCATGTAGGCACACACTGATGTAAGTGGGTAGATTCACATGTAGGTACATACTGATGTAAGTGGATAGATTCACATGTAGGCACATACTGATGTAAGTGGATAGATTCACATGTAGGCACATACTGATGTCTCAGATACTAGAACTGGTCTCAGATACTAGAACTGGTCTCAGATACTAGAACTGGTCTCAGATACTTGAACTGGTCTCAGATACTAGAACTGGTCTCAGATACTAGAACTGGTCTCAGACACTAGAACTGGTCTCAGATACTAGAACTGGTCTCAGACAATAGAATTGATCTCAGATACTAGAACTGGTCTCAGATACTAGAACTGGTCTCAGATACTAGAACTGGTCTCAGATACTAGAACTGGTCTCAGATATTAGAACTGGTCTCAGATATTAGAACTGGTCTCAGATATTAGAACTGGTCTCAGACAATAGAACTGGTCTCAGATACTAGAACTCGGGTCACTAAATTGTATATAAATATGAGATCCATCAATGGCTTATGACATGCTAACCTGCTGTCACGTGACATGTCAAAATGGTGGCTAAAGACAAATGCGAACCTCTTTCTCCTGAGAGGTTTTGTTGCTGATATAACGGACGTAGTATTCCCAAGCCTCTCTGGAGTAACAGTTCATGAACTGGGTGAAGCCCGTGCCATTGGTGAAGTGCCCTCTCTGTCTGCTCTCCCAGAGTCCGTCGGGCCCACAGAATCTGTATGCTTTCTCTGTGAACATGTCAGCATATATATTTATATTTACACGACGTAATGCGGTTATTTATAGTAAGCGGCCGTGTGTGTGTGCGTGTGTGTGTGTGTGTGTGTGTGTGTGTGTGTGTGTGTGTGTATGTGTGCGTCTACAAACCTACTGACAGAGGGGGGGGGGGGAGAAGAGAAAAGAACATTTCTGGCAAAGATCTGCGAATGATCAAGAATGTCTAGGGGCAGTAAGCAAAGGGGCTCTACTCCAAATGACGGTCCCAAATTATCTACGCAGAAAGTAAACCCTAACAGAGCCTCATTACGTCCAGCCCGCACACATTTAAAAGTTCTAGCTCGGAAAAAAATAGGAAACGAAAAGTATGAGGAAAAGGGTTAAGTCTACTACTTACCGACAGTTAAATCCTTTATATGTGAAAAATGCGGCACAGAAGTTGCAAATAGTGCGCGAATATCTGTTCTTTCTGGCTGTTTTCCATTCCAACTCACCCGAATATGATGGGAACAGGACGCGGCTTGTCCGCGATTCTCGTTCCGGGCGAGACATAATCAGTAATGCGCGTTTTAATGTACGCGCATATCGCCTCGGGACAACTTCAAACCTGCATCCGCCACTATGGCGCTTCACTATCCCGACCACCCCTTGACCGTGGCGAGTGCGACCACGCTGCCAGTTACGACTGAAGAAGTAGCTCATGACTTTTTTTCCGGCGACTATAGTGCCACCTCCGAGTGTGTCACCCGCGAAAGGGGCTAAACTAGATGGCTAGGACTCACGAGCAAATACAATGGAGGAAGCTGCAGGAGACGCGGTAGCTGCTGCTCGTGAGTCCCAGCCATCTAGTTTAGCCCCTTCCGGATACTCTCGGGGGTGGCACTATAGGCGGAAAAAAGTGGTCCGCAACTTATATAACTGAAGCCGTGCCGAAGGATAGCGCTATCGGGAGTATTCTTGCGTGTCGCTAATTTTTCGGCCGGAGTTAATCCTAGTTTTGCCGCCGTTTATTCGTCGTAAAAAACTCCGTTGCGTTTCGCGAAAATGGTGTGCGCAATTAATCCTACGTTTGATGGGATTGATTCGCCGCAAAAAATATGCGAATTATAGATATCAGTAAGGCTCTGTTAGGGTTTACATCACCCATCTTGTGCCGTTAGTCTATAAAAATATAGGTCTAGCCCTATATGCCCTATGCGCCTAAAGGCGTGGAAGAGGTCCTTTACTTTTTTTTACTGTTAAGGTTTACTTTCTGCGTAGATAATTTGGGACCGTTATTCGGAGTAGAGCCAACAATGGTTATAGAACTACCGTTTACCAGTAGCTCAGGACGTAAACAGTGGTGTCCGATAAGGCTGTGGTGTACACATAGCACTGACTGTTTGTGTCCGATAAGTGTGTGGTGTACACCTAGCACTGACTGTTTGTGTCCGATAAGTGTGTGGTGTACACCTAGCACTGACTGTTTGTGTCCGATAAGTGTGTGGTGTACACCTAGCACTGACTGTGTCCGATCAGTGTGGTGTACACCTAGCACTGACTGTTTGTGTCCGATAAGTGTGTGGTGTACACCTAGCACTGACTGTTTGTGTCCGATAAGTGTGTGGTGTACACCTAGCACTGACTGTTTGTGTCCGATAAGTGTGTGGTGTACACCTAGCACTGACTGTTTGTGTCCGATAAGTGTGTGGTGTACACCTAGCACTGACTGTTTGAGTCCGATAAGTGTGTGGTGTACACCTAGCACTGACTGTTTGTGTCCGATAAGTGTGTGGTGTACACCTAGCACTGACTGTGTCCGATCAGAGTGTGGTGTACACCTAGCACTGACTGTTTGTGTCCGATAAGTGTGTGGTGTACACCTAGCAGTGACTGTGTCCGATCAGAGTGTGGTGTACACCTAGCACTGACTGTTTGTGTCCGATAAGTGTGTGGTGTACACCTAGCACTGACTGTTTGTGCCCGATAAGTGTGTGGTGTACACCTAGCACTGACTGTTTGTGTCCGATAAGGCTGTGGTGTACACCTAGCACTGACTGTTTGTGTCCGATAAGTGTGTGGTGTACACCTAGCACTGACTGTTTGTGTCCGATAAGGCTGTGGTGTACACCTAGCACTGACTGTTTGTGTCCGATAAGGCTGTGGTGTACACCCAGCACTGACTGTTTGTGTCCGATAAGTGTGTGGTGTACACCTAGCACAGATTGTTTGTGTCCGATAAGTGTGTGGTGTACACCTAGCACTGACTGTTTGTGTCTGATAAGTGTGTGGTGTACACCTAGCACTGACTGTTTGTGTCCGATAAGGGTGTGGTGTACACCTAGCACTGACTGTTCGTGTCCGATAAGTGTGTGGTGTACACCTAGCACTGACTGTTTGTGTCTGATAAGTGTGTGGTGTACACCTAGCACTGAGTGTTTCTGTCCGATAAGGGTGTGGTGTACACCTAGCACTGACTGTTTGTGTCCGATAAGTGTGTGGTGTACACCTAGCACTGACTGTTCGTGTCCGATAAGTGTGTGGTGTACACCTAGCACTGACTGTTCGTGTTCGATAAGTGTGTGGTGTACACCTAGCACTGACTGTTTGTGTCCGATAAGGGTGTGGTGTACACCCAGCACTGACTGTGTCCGATAAGGGTGTGGTGTACACCTAGCATTGACTGTTTGTGTCCGATCAGAGTGTGGTGTACACCTAGCACTGACTGTGTCCGATAAGTGTGTGGTGTACACCCAGCACTGACTGTGTCCGATCAGTGTGGTGTACACCTAGCACTGATTGTTTGTGTCCGATCAGAGTGTGGTGTACACCTAGCACTGACTGTTTGTGTCCGATCAGTGTGGTGTACACCCAGCACTGACTGTTTGTGTCCGATAAGGGTGTGGTGTACACCTAGCACTGACTGTTTGTGTCCGATAAGGGTGTGGTGTACACCTAGCACTGACTGTTTGTGTCCGATAACTGTGTGGTGTACACCTAGCACTGACTGTTTGTGTCCGATAAGGGTGTGGTGTACACCTAGCACTGACTGTTTGTGTCCGATCAGAGTGTGGTGTACACCTAGCACTGACTGGTGGTGTCCGATAAGGGTGTGGTGTACACCTAACACTTACTGTTTGTGTCCGATAAGGGTGTGGTGTACACCTATCACTGACTGTTTGTGTCCGATAAGTGTGTGGTGTACACCTAGCACTGACTGTTTGTGTCCGATAACTGTGTGGTGTACACCTAGCACTGACTCTTTGTTTCCGATAAGGGTGTGGTGTACACCTAGCACTGACTGTGTCCGATAAGGGTGTGGTGTACACCTAGCACTGACTGTTTGTGTCCGGTAAGGGTGTGGTGCACATCTAGCAGTCATTGGTTGTGTCTGATAAGGGTGTGGTGTACACCTAGCACTGACTGGTGGTGTCCGATAAGTGTGTGGTGTACACCTAGCATTGACTGTTTGTGTCCGATAAGGGTGTGGTGTACACCTAGCACTGACTGTGTCCGATAAGGGTGTGGTGTACACCTAGCACTGACTGAGTCCGATAAGGGTGTGGTGTACACCTAGCACTGACTGTGTCCGATAAGGGTGTGGTGTACACCTAGCACTGACTGTGTCTGATAAGGGTGTGGTGTACACCTAGCACTGACTGTGTCCGATAAGGGTGTGGTGTACACCTAGCACTAACTTTTTGTGTCCGATCAGAGTGTGGTGTACACCTAGCACTGACTGTTTGTGTCAGATCAGAGTGTGGTGCACACCTAGCACTGACTGGTTGTGTCCGATCAGAGTGTGGTGTACACCTAGCACTGACTGTTTGTGTCCGATCAGAGTGTGGTGTACACCTAGCACTGACTGGTGGTGTCCGATAAGGGTGTGGTGTACACCTAGCACTGACTGTTTGTGTCCGATAAGGGTGTGGTGTACACCTAGCACTGACTGTTTGTGTCCGATAAGGGTTA